TGAGTTTACTAAGAAGGAAAAAGACAAAAATGAATAATTAATCAAAACTGACATTAATTTTGAAAAATGCTATAAATTCTAACCTAATTCAAAAATTAATGCTGTCAAATCTTAAAGCAATTTCTCCTAACGAATAATCTCCGTGAGTATGGGAAGCATCCAATAAAGAAGGCACAGAACCCATAACTGTTTGCATAATCCCACTAGTAGCAGCAGCCAAAGTCTTTTTTCTTTCTCCTTGTCGTTCATCTTTGCTTTTATCTCCTTTTTTATTGTGGAGATATTTATTAGTAGTGTCTTTTAGGTCATCAGCCAAGCCACTGGTTTTGGGGTCAGCTGCTCCAAGAGATATGGCTTTTACCAAACCATCAACCAACTTAGTTCCCATTTTTAGGGCTAGACCTTGCATCTTGTCAGCCTCCAAGGAAAAATTAAGGTCTTCACTATATCTAAACAAAACTTTCTTACTTTCAAACCGATACATAATCCCGGCTGGATTGGCTCTTGCCACCACATTAAAATTATTCCAGTCCATTTCATCTAAATTACTTTCGTGGATTTTTTTGCTGTTTCAGAAATAGTTAACATTCACATGCTTTAATAAATGTTCGTATTTTCCTCCTTGTCCGTCGTGGCTCATTCGTTCCATTTTGGCATTTTTCACTCAATTATCCAAGGTAGATTTAACACTATTGCTGAACTCAATTTTAAACTTTTTCCAAGCTGTCATGCTCCCATTTTCATATCAGTCTGGTAAAAGAAAATAAGTAGTAGGATAAAGCCCTTGGGTTTCTATACTGCTAGCCTCCTCTAAATCGAGGGTGTGAAAAACAGGGTATTTTTTATCTTGCCCGTAAGGCTTATTATGTAATTCAGTTCTTCACATTCCTCCCATGAAATTCTTTAATTTAAAAAGTTTATAAGAAGGTTGCCAATCACTCATAAATTCAGCATACTCGGTGCTTTCTAAAAAAGAGGGACATTGGCAAATTTCATCTTTATTCCCAAATTTAGGAGAATGGTGGATAACTCCATTGGCTCCTTTACCCCAAAAAGTAGGATAATTATGAATAAAAATACTTCTTTGAGCCGTGATAATAGCATTCTCGTGATTAATTCTTTCTCACCCTAGCACTTCATATCAAATATTATTTCGATAAAATAAGAATTCTTTTAAATTAACAAAAATTCCTCTCGGAGGTTGAAAAGTAAACTTTAAATATTCGACATTATCTTCTAAAATAAAACAGATATTTTTTCGGTCATTTACTATTTTCCTCTGTTCTTCTCATTCTTGTAATAATTCTTCTACTTCTTCATTATTATTTAAATGCTCTTGGTTAAATCGTTGGAATTGAGAAACAGTTTTTTTGTTTAGTCCTAATTTTAAATTCTTAATTCTTTGTTCTTTCTTTTTTTGTTGTTCTTTTATTCATTCTTGTTCGGTTTGGTTATTTTCTTCCTCTGCTCCTGGTTCTCATTCAACTATTAAGGGTTCTTCTTCCTCTTCGGTGATTATTTGTTGAATCATCTCTTTTATTTCTTGATAGATTTCGTTAATTCTTGTTTGGGCTTCTTGTCGTTCACTTTCAGGTCTTTCTGATTGTTTTTGCTTATTTATCTCTTCCTTAAACTCAGTAATTATTTCAGCAAATCTTTTCGGAAGAGGTAAAAATTCACCACTTCCATCATTTTTAGGAAATTTATAGGGATTATGTTGGAGGTGATAAATCTTATCTTTTCACAATTCTGTCCTTGTGTATATTTCGTGTAAGGTTAATAAGTTAGATTGGATTAATTTTTGGTTCATAAGTTTAAAAATTAGTTATTATGGCTGTGTATCATTTAGAATGTCATCAAAAAAAGTTTAAAGATAAAGAGGAATGTTTTTTTCCTTTTCCTTTTTGCCCCATAACTCCTTTGTTTTGTAATCACTGCCAGCAGGAAATAAAAGGAGGATGAAAAAAATGTTATCATCATTAAAAACCTTTTCAAAAAACAGAGGAGGGATAATCTTTTGGCTGGGTTTTTTTGTAATTATATCAAGCAAACTTACTTCCCATTAAGGTTCCGTGTATTCGAACATATTCATTTTGTCAGGCTGTTTTTTCATGTCCTCCTTCTGATTTGTCTTGCTCCTTTTTGAAATAGTTGATGCTGGATTGATATTTAGGATTATTTTCAATCTTTTTCATCTTTTCCTTTATCTTTTGGTTTTTCTTAAACTTTCATTGCTCTTCATATCACTTAATAGCCCATGGCATTCACTTTTTTATTTTTCGTCGAGAACTAGAATTAAATCACACTGTTCCTTTTTCAGTTTTAGCATGAATGGCTGAAATATGACCACACTCATGGCAAGTAGTATCAAAAAAAGTTCCTTTAATTCGACAAGTATATCAAGGAATTTTTAATGAAGGAGGAGTAGCAAAAGCATCACTTAATCCCATATTTCCATCATACATTCCTGCTCCGAAGGCATGCCAGTCTTTTGGCACATTTACATTAATATGGTCTTTATACTGAGGCAAAGCACACTCCACCATTAAAGGCAATACTTCTTCATGTTTATTCTGTAAGTCTAAATCCGAGCATTTACCTGATTGGCATTGTGGTCCTCCTCGGCTTCGATTAAATTCCTCATTACATTTGGGACATTTTTCTACTCATTCCTTTTTTTCCTCATCGGGAAAGGTTCCTTTATTCATTAAAGAGTTTTTAACTCTCTTTTTACTTAGTAAATAGTATTTTGTTGGTGTTATATAAGTTGTTAACTAAACAGATAATAAAAGAGATATCAGAAACTATTTTTAACTATTCTTTTTTAACCATTTTTTAGTTTGTTTTTTTCTTTTTCTCTATTTTTTAATTTCTTTTTTAAGAACCTAAGAGACCAAGGAGAGAGATAATAATAGAGAGTAGTATAAGAGTTAGGAGATTAAAAACCAAATAACATCTCTAATAAAATAGCTAATAATTACAAGATGTAGAGGATTAGTAAACTAATCCATAACTACTAATTCTTATAAATAAATATCTAAATAATAGAGCTGATAGTTGGCAAAAAAAACAGGGGCATTTTTGGGCTAAAAAAACGAAAAAAATGACCTTCTCTTCCCTCGGGAAACACTAAAAAAAGTTAGCAAAGATTTACAGATATTTCACTTGCTTTCTTAACCACTTCGGATAGTAATAGAGGGCTTTACAACTATTATTCCTAAATTAAAGCCGATTTAATTATTCAGGGTTTATTTCTCTAATTTTAAATAGTTGAATGGCTAATTCTTTTCCAGCCTTTTTATTATTAGTTTTATTTAAGGTCTAAACTGGCAAAAAAAGACCATTAACTAAATTCTCATAACTGATTTAGTAAATTCTTTAAAAACTCTCTTTCTTTTCTATCTTTTTCACTATAAATATGCTGGCTATTCTGGTAATTTTTATGCTTATTAATTAGAGCATACAAATTAGGCATAGATAGAGAATTAGTCGGGTTTTTGCTGCTATTTTCTAATTTTGAATACTTTTCTATTAGTTGCTGTTTTTCTGTTTGTAATTCCTTTTCTAGCTGCTCTTGTCAATATCCTAAATCTTTTCTTAAAATCTGATTGGTTTCTTGGAGGCTGATTATTTTTATTTCTAATTCTTTTACTTTTTTTTCTAGTTGATAATTTATTTTCTTTTGTTCCTTTGCTTGGTCTTGCTCTTGTTGGTAAAGATTAGCAAAATTAGAGATAGAGTTTTCTATTTCGGGACAACGGGAGCAGGGTTGTAAAATATTTTCTTGGATTTTTACAACTTCTTCCTTTGGTTGTAAAATTTCTGCTGGTTGTAAATTCTCATTTTTTACAACTATTTCGGATTTTACAACTAGATTATTTTTTACAACTTCTAAACTATTTACAATCTCCTCTTCGTTTTTTACAACTTGTTTTTTTTGTAAATAATTTTGCTGGAAGTAGCCTTTTTGTTTTCTTTTTTGGTTATATTCTTTTCAGTAATCTTTATCTTTAATGATTGGCATGATTTTTAAAATGGTAGTGAGGAGAGATTTGACGAAGTATTCTTTTATTTCTCCGTCATCCTATTATTTGCTAATTTGGAAGGTGCAAAAAAAATCCCAAGCCACTTATTCTTTTATTTCGTGGTCTCCTCAGGTTTTTAATAGGCATGTTGGCAAATACTCTCCTGATTGATAGGTTCTTTCCATAATTTACTATAATCAGCATATAAGGTTTCATAGTCATTATGAATATAAGCAGCCGTGGTTTCTAAATTAGAGTGTCCTAATAATTTTTGAATAGTAGTCATTCGGACTTTTCTTCTGTCTAATAAAGTGGCAAATGACCTTCGGAAGGTATGAGGACTAACTCATTTTCTTAATCCTGCTAATTTGGTTCTAGTTCTAATGATTTCTCTTACTTTATCCGTTAAAATTTTTCTTCCGTTCTGATTGGTGAATAAATAGCCTTTGGCTCCTGGTCGGAGATACTTTTCTAAAAAAGGGGGCAAAAGAGCCTGTCGAATTTTGTTGCCCTTGCCATGAATTCTTAAACTTTGTTCTTGGTAATCTCGGTGTTTAATGTTGACTAGTTCACTAACTCTAATTCCGGAATAAAATAAAAAGTCTAGCATTAAATTATTTCTCTGATAAACTGCTTCATTCTTTTCAAATCTAGCCTGTTTTAATAACTTTAATTCTTTTTCACTAATGGTCGTAAAAAACTTTCTCATTTTCTTGGGAATTAAGCCCTTAATTCTTACTCAATCAATACTTTCATCGACCTTTTGTCATTTGCTATAAGAGATTAAGGCTGCCAAATAAAGTTGACAAGTAGCAGGTTCTTTATTTTTGGCTAGTTTTTTAATGAATTTGCTAATATTTTCCGTAGTTAAGGAGTTTTGATAATATTTGCTAATTACTTGCTGATAAACAATTATCGTATTCGGGGATAAATTTTTATTTTTTAAGTAATTTAGATATTTGGTTAGGTTCATAAGTTTAAAAAATATCTAATTGCTCTTTTTTATTTTCAGCTTTTTTGGGACTTTTGCAGTTCTTACAGCATCGGTTAAATACTCTTTCCAGACATTTGACTTGTTGACACTTTTTACAGTGTCGGTTTAGTCAAATAATTAAGCAAAAAATTAAAAAAATGTTTTCTGTTATTAAAATGGTTAAAATTATGTGATTCATATTTATTTAGATTGGTTTCTTTGTTTTTGGATATATTCTTTACAATTAGCACATATTCAGCCTTTATCTATTTTCACTGAGCCTAATTTGAGGATATGCTGAAATTGGGCTATTTTTTGGCAGTTAGGATAGTTATATTGGCATTGCTTATTTGGCATGGTCTTTTAATTTATGTCTTTCTAATATTTCTTCTACTTTTTTCTTTTCAGTTTCGGTTAATTCTTTCCTACTGTCTAACTTATCAGGGTCTAAATTATCACTAGTCGGGATTAAAAAGAATTTCATCAGAAAATACTTAATAGCATAAGTTTCGGCACTCCCTTTGGCTTTGGCAATGTCAGTATTTTGTCCACAGGCTCAAAAATGGAGTGTTAAATGCTCCTGTTTATTTTCACTATTGATTAGGATAATTTGTTTCTGATATTGGACTACTCAATCTTTTTCTATTTTTTCTTTCACAAAACCTTCTTTGGCATCTGAAAAAAGGAGAATTAATTTAGTTTCATCTAGTAAAGGTTTGAGGACTTTTAATATCTCATATTCATTCACATATTTATAATGCTGAAATTTGTTTTCTTCGGTTTTGGTTAGATGGTTAATTTTGCTTTGGATTTGGTGTAATTTAGTGTAAATGTTATTTGTATTATTCATATTAGTTAGGATCAGTTTCTTTTATTTTGGGGCAGATTTCATGTTCGATACTTCTGATTCAGATAGTTAATTCATAGCCAGTTCGTCCAAATGGTTTATAATAAGCATCTTCGGTTAGTTTTTCCATGGGAATTAATCTGACATCATTACTAGTATCAAACCAAACCTCGTAATTTTCTTTATCGATTTCTTGCTGAGTAAACTTTTGCTGACATTGGGGACATTCTTTACCCTCTAATTGTAAACTGAGATTAGTCCCTTTAATTTGGTTAGTTGCTCCCATGATTTTCTTTAATTTCTAATTCTTGTCAATCTACTAAATAATAACTCCCCATGTAATTCTTACAGCAAAAAAGATATTCCCTTTTGATATAATTACTGGCTTCTATTTCCTGTCAAATTTCCTGCTTTTTACAACTATCAGCAAAAACATTGATTTTTTTCACCTGCTCTTTTTCCGGAATTACTACTGATAATTGATAAAAGGTATTACCGTCCTTCTTTTTTTTAGCCCTTTTGTCGGTTATTCTCCCTACTAATTGGTAAATATAATCTTGTCTATTCATGGCTTTGTAAATATTTTCTAGCCTCAGTAATTTTGGCTAGTTCTTGTTCGAAATTAGTTAATTGTTGACTGGCTTGGAGGAGGGTAAATTTACCTTGCAGATTAGGGTCTAAAATTTGGTAAGAATAGGCTGTAAAACTAGGTCGGTTTTGGTTATATTTCGGATCAGGATTTTTAAATATTCCCTGAACTTCTAAATAAGAACCAGTTTTTATCTTAGGTCTAATTCAGTTATCTTTTTCATCTTTTATTCGGAAAAAAACAGGAATATCCTCCTCCTGATTATCTACTTTTAAAAATACTCGGGCTGGATAAGGATATTGTCCCTGAGTTCGGTGAGCCTTATGTCCTGAATTTACTTGGCTAGTGGTGATGCCTTTTAGAGTTATTAATTTTTCTACCTGTTTTGGTTCTTGGTTGGTATAGACCTCAACTGTCGGGCTTGTGGTGTCAACAGTTTGAACCTTTTTTATTACTGTTTCTGTCATACTTTTTGGTATATAGACAGACAAGACAGATTAAAAAAGGTCTATTAAAATTAATTAATCTGCTCCGGTAATTCAGTGGACTAGAATACTCGTTTCCTAAACAAGTCGTCGGAGGTTCGAATCCTTCCCGGAGCGCCATAAAGCCATAAAATTATATTAATAGAATTGTCTGAAGATAGTAATTGTTATAAATTTGGTTTAGTTAGCACTTTGCGTGGCTATGAAAAAAGAATTAGGCACAGCAATATCACTAGAACAGCCCTAGAAGAAGATTTAATTAATCTTGGCTCAGAAGCAACTTGAAAAAAGTATTTATTAATTGTGGAGCATAATCTGCAGGTGGTAAAATTTACCCTGCAACGTCTTCCTGTTCAGGTAGTTCATTCGAGGATTGCTTCCCATTTGATACCGGTGGCTACTTTGAAGAGTTTTGACAAAGAGAAAACAAACTATGAATTGGTGCTGGAAAAAGAGCAATTATTAAAATTATTAAAGAGAAAAAAATTACTGTTTCCATGCATTCCTCGCAGTTTGTCAGTTTGGGGGCGGATGACGAGGAGATAAAAAAAAATTCCCAGGCTGAGTTAATTTACTGCGCTAGGATTTTAGAATTAATTTCCGAAGAGGCGGTTATTACTACTCAACTTAATTCGAAGAAGGAAATGGTGGAAAAATTTGAGAAATTGGGAAAAGAAAAATACTTACAATGAATGGCTAAAGCAGTTAGACAATTGCCTGATTATGTGTTGGCAAAGATTAGTTTAGAGAATGAAATGCGCGGCTTTTGAAATTCAGTTAATCTTTATAAATTCCACCTCTATTTTAAAAAAGAATACGGCATTTCTTTTCCCCTGGTCTGAGATAATGCTCATGAAGCGGCTAACCCTTCCCGAATTAGTGAAAATAAGGAAAATTGAGAATGGTTTGTCGGCACTTGGCCAAATCGGACGCCCCTTTTTTATTGGTCAGAAAGTTGCGGTAAAAATAAGGTGGGGCATTGTGATTATTATCACCAAAAGATTCTCCCTCCTAGTTCAACCCCTATCTGAGTGTGTGAAATTAAAATGAAAGAATTGGCTTTACAGGAATTATTAAAAAGTTCAAAAATTAATTTAGAGGGAGACGTTGAAGCACCATTAAGATAAGGAATAATAATTACTCAAAATAATGAAATTAATTGTTGGGCTTGGTAATCCTGGTAAAGAATATGAAAATACTCGGCATAATTTAGGTTTTGTGGTTATTGATCAATTAGCCAGTAAATTAAATGTCAAACTAAGCAAAAAAAAATTTAATGGTTTTTATTGTCAAACTAGCGAATATATTCTTCTAAAACCCCAAACTTATATGAATAATTCAGGCGAATGCATTTCAGCTTTTATAAATTATTTTCATATCCTTTTGGATAATTTGCTAGTAATTTATGATGAGATTGCTTTGCCGTTGGGAAAATTTCGTTATCGTTGTCAAGGCTCGGACGGGGGACATAATGGAATGAAAAATATTATTAAATTTGTAGGGAGTAAGGATTTTAAAAGATTGAGGATTGGAGTTGGTTATGACCAAAATTTCTTGATTAAAGATTGAGTTTTACAAAACTTTTCTTCAGCCGAAAAAGAAGAGTTAAGAAAAATTATGCCTAATTTACTTGCTAGTTTGTTAGAATGAATAAGAGAAAAAAATTTTGAAAAAATGATGAGTAGATTCAACAGTTATAAAGATTAGTTATAAATAATCATAAGTAAAGTTATTTTTTTATAAAAATAATATTATGACATGCTGAAAGGATTTTAAAAACTGACTAGAAAGAGAAGTAGTAATTTCAGAGGGATTAAAGGTTAAAATTAGGTCAGAAAAACGAATGGTATATGGAAAGTTATCAGAAACTGTTTTAACTAATTTCATGGATAGTTTAGAAGCCACTTTGGATAAAAATAGCAGTTATCATTTATTTCCTGAGTTCAATAAATGTCAAGAAGTTGGAGGATTGTTTGATAAACAAATGATTTTTGGCAAAAAAACCAACCAAGAGGAGATAAAAGGTAATGATTGCGATTTATTGAAAAAGTTGTTTGGTGAGTGAAGTAAAATAGGGAGTGCTGCTGATGAGAAACCAACAAAAAGTTTGTATGAGGAAAAAAATGATGAAATTTTACAATTAAAAAGACGCTTAGAATTTTTGGAAGAGTCCCGAAACGAGATGGTAAGTGATAGAGAGGAAAAAATAGAAGAATTGGAAAATCAACTCGAAAATAAACAAAAAGAAATTAATTGACTACAAGACAAGTTGAAAAAAATTTTAGGCAAGGAACAATATCAAGCACAAATTGAAGTTAATTATCCAGCAAAGTTTAGAAATTAAAGATAGTGCTTGATATTAAAATAAATTATAATAAACAATTTACTAGTTTATTATTCAATAATAAGTATGGCAACAGCAATAGCAAAAAAAAAAAAAAAAAACAGTAGTCATCTTTTCCTCCGAGATGTTTCTTTGATAGAAGTAGGTGCTAAGAAAATAGAAAAATTTTTCAATAGTATTACAATATCATGGTAGTAGGAGACACAAGCAAAGTAGAATTTAAAAGAATGATTCGGGGCGAGGATAGTTTTTACGAATTTTCCCGAGAAATTTATCAAGCCTGAAAAGGCCATAACCTTCTTAAGAGTTATAATTTTCCTAGCAAAGCCGACATGAATAAAGCCAAAGCCAGTAAACTTTATCAACTCATTAACAAGATCTATGATCCCATTAATGGAAAATTAGAAGCGGAATTTTGAGAACAAAAAAAGAAACAATTGCAGAATGATTTCACCCATCGAGGAGTGCTCTTTAAAAAAACTATTAAAAAACTTAAAAAAAAAGGACAATGAAATCCACATACTTATATGATGGATCCAGATAAATATGAAGACGTGGAAGAAGAAACTTTGGAATTTAAAAATGCTTGAAATGCCCTAATGCATGATAAAAGAAATATTCTATCTTCTGCCAAGGGAGAATTAAGAGCAAAACTTGACCAAAGACAAAGAATAAATTCGGTTTTAAATGTTTACTTAACTAGAAATTGAGAGAATAATATTCCCAAAGGTGATTTTGGTGATGGCACTGAAGAAAGCGATAAAGAAAAATGTGCTAATTGTCAGGTGAGTGGACCTGATGACTATGAAATTAAGTGGAAAAGTTGAGAAGAAAACAAAACTAAGACAACCGGCATTGAAATTCCTTGATATTGCACAAACATGTGCCTTTATCAATGACTTAAAAAAACTTATCCAGCGGGGGAATATACTCATAGTCATACTCTTAAGGAAATGAATAGCAAAAGTTTTTCGAGGTGTGGTGGTTGCGGCAAAGTAAGTAAAAAGAGTGAATTCTTAAATAATTTGCCCAATTGAAAAAAATCCCGAAGTTTGGGAATTTTCTGTTCGCAAAGTTGCCTTGATAAAGCAAAAGTGGGCGGAGGACCTAATAAAAACAAAACTATTTGTGCCGAATGTGGAGCCACAAGACCAGGTGGACTGGCCGGTGCCACTTGGGACGTAGTTCATGGTTATCCTTTTTGCTCCGACGGCTGCACTACTAGTTTTTTCCAAAAATTAAAGCAGAAATATATTCAACAAATAAAAAACTTGGATAAACTTACTGAAGAAGAAAAACGAGATTTTATTGACCAGATTGAAAATGGTCTACCAGGTAATTTCGATAACATTCTTCAACAGGCTAAAATTATTAATCAAAACAGGGGAGGAAATGACCTCTTTTCTGAAATCCAAAAAGCCATTCAAGAAATCGAAGCCGAACTCCTAAAAGAACCAGTTATTACGAGTGAAGAATTGGATGCTGATTCTCCTATTGGCTGGAAAGAAGAACTAGAAAGCGTTTCTGGTCTTGCTGACCTTAACAATAAAAAGGAAATTATTTTGAAAGCCATTAAAGAGAAGCGGGCTTTGAAAACAAAAACGCCATTAAAAATTTTTCTCCAACAAATCATTCAACAAATTAAAAGCGAACTAAATAAAAAGCCTAAGTTAGAAAATCAAGAACTAAACGAACCAAACTGAGAAGAGAAAATAAATGCTCTTTCTGAAAAAAGCGAAATTAAAAAATTACGGAATGAAATTTTGATCGATATTCTCAACAAAAGAACCCTCAAAAAAGAAAAAAATCTTCTCGTTGAACTCTTAACCCAAGCCAAGCAAAAAGAAAATTGAGAAAATTATTCTAAACTGGAAAATATTCTCACCCAGATTAAAAAATTGCGGTCTTCTAATGTTTATCAGGAAAATTTGGCGGAAATCCAAACTATCGAAAATAGACTTCAGGAATTAGACCCTTCCCAATATGAAAAAACTAAAATCTCTTTACTGGATCAACAACTAAAGGACGAAGGATTAAATGATAGCAATATGGATGAGGAAACTAAAGCAGCCTTAAAAGAGGCCAAACAAAACCCCACTCCTGAAAACATTACCAAAGCCGAAGAAAAAATCCACCAAAATGGAGCCAATAATAATTTAGATAATCTTCTAACTCAAACTTTAAATAAACTTAAAAAAGGTAATTTAACTGAATCAGAGAAACAAGCCGCCATCAGTAAAATAATCGAATTCATCCTTAGTGAAAATAAATATCAAAGAGAGGCTTATAAACTCAAAAAATCAAAAGTAGATGCTTTGTTGGCAGAACTAAGGGGAGAAAAAAATAATCAGGAAGGAGTTCCCTTGACAAGAGTAATTATTATTACTGCTTTAATTGTCCTGCCCTTGATTATTGTATTTATTTTGATTCGGCGAGCACGACGAAGGAGGTTGAACTAAACCCGAAGTATCAGAATTGTAAGGTATGTGAATCAGAAGTGGAGATTATTATTTAGAAAAGATTCTTTTCAGTAAGATTAATTATTTCGACATCTACCCTTAAGATAGATTGAAATTCAACTACAAATTTATGTAAATCAATAATTTCTTGAAATTCTTCTTTATCCAAGCAAGCCCGATGAAGTTTTTGACAATTTCTTTTCAAAAACCTAATCGCTTCCAGTGGAACCTTTATCAAGCAATTAGTATTAACAAAACTATTTTTATGTACCTTGCTGTCCAAACAAACAGGTCTTTTTTTAATCTTATATTGACTATAAAGAACACATTCTCTCGTGCGATTAGAAGTGATAGAAAAGAAGATCAAAAAATTATTCTTTTTATCTATTTCTTTTAATAAATAATAGCGATAACCGGTGAGGTTATGACGATTTTTAAAATAGTTAGTTTGAAAGCAAATTACCTGATTAGATTGAAATAAGTAATTATTTATAATTAACTTATTCTTAAATAAGGGAAGCGACGTTAACTTAATTCTACCTCTTTAACGATATGACCTAATAATTTCTGGTAAAATTCGCTTAGTTCATCATTGTTCATGCGGTCATCATCTTCTTTTTTTTCAAACCAAGTTTTTCTTCAAGCGGGATCATCATGCGAAAAAGTTTCTAAATAATCGTCAGAATAATTTTTAAAATAGTAGTAAATTTTGCTAACCAAATTCTTTTTTTCTTTATCGATTGAAACCTCCTTAGTAGTTAGTGTTTGGCGATGAAAACTAAAAAAGTCTCGGTAGATTGGATAAACAATGGCTCCGTGATAATAAGCCCGTAAATCTTCAAAAAAAAGAGGTTCCCCATATTTGGCATAATGAAGCATTTGACAAATATGAAGCATTTTGTTTAAACGGAAATTGCCGATAGTGGGTGGCTCATATCCTTCTTCCTCTACCATGTTTGGCATCTTTCCATCGAGAAAATATTCTCGATTGGGGTCAAACGATAATAATAACTTAGTTACTTCAGCAACTGAGATTGGTAGTTGTTTTTTTTGCATAATGAACTTAGCGTTTCCTATATGAATAGTTTTAATGTTAAGTTAATAAGACGACTAAGTCAAACATGAGTTTTTATTCAATTTCTTCCATCTCTTTTAATCTCTATCCTCTGACTCTTTTCTTATAAAAAAAGAGATATTGTTTGTGGAGAATTAAAACAGAAGGCTGTGTTACCATTGAAAAAGATAATCCATTTCAATTTTAACAAAATTAATTAATATGGAAGAAAAAAAATATCAGGAAGAGGCTAAAAGAAGAGGGGTGATTAATTGTCTTTATAGTCATTTTAAAGATACTTCCAAAAAATTAAAAGTGGTTTGTGATTGGGATGAAGTAATCCAGACTCTTGAACCGAGAGTATATTACGAGTTGTCTGAGCGGGAAGGAGCCTATTATGATGCTCCATGATGAAAACCAAACGGAACTAAATTTGAAGAATTTTTTCAAGATTTCTGACCTAATGCTCCGATTTACTTCTCAGATTATGGCAGTCATTCCATTTATACTGATAAAAGTATGGTGAAGAGTTGTATAACGAAGGATAATTGTTTTGCCCTTGGTATGAGAAGTATCAAAAGTAAAGTTGACAAAATAAAAAACGAACCCGATTTTTACCAAAATTCTCCTTTTCTTACTTTGGCTAAAGAGTTATTAAAATTAGTCAAAGAAAATAAAGTAGAAATAATTTTTCTTTCTGCTTATGATAAAAGGGCTTTTTCTGATGGAGACCCACGCAAGAAAAAAATATTCAATGAAACTTTTGGTAAATTTCCCAATTGTTCACTAAACTTGATTGGTTTTGATAGTGAAGGTCAAGGTCAAACTAAGGGAGAATGAATTAGCAAAAATGTTCCGGATTGTGAGGTGGTAATTGATGATAATCCAAACATTCTCCGAAATATAATCCAGAATAATGACAAAATAATTGTCGTTGCTCCTTTTTATCCAACTATTAGACACCACGAGAAAGTATTATTAATTAAAACCTCAATCAGCGATTTAAAAAAAGGGGATTTTAAACATGAGTAGACCATTATTGCAATGTGCAAAATTAATGACAACTTTTAATTCATTTTACCAATTTTTCTCTTCTTCGCTTTGCGTTTTTTTAGAATACTTTTGTTATACTCTTCTTCATAAGGGGAAGAATACCTACTTTCGTAACTTTTATGAAATTTTACCAGCAAGCTTTCAGAAGAGTTAATAAACTTTTGATACTTTTTAAAGAGATGTGTTTGATTGCCCCGATATTTTCAATATCATTTTTTGTTATGCTTAGGAAGAGGATAATTATGGTCAATGCCAACTGAAATATGACCTGGCTCATGAGCCACTGTGTCAACAAATTGAATGCGAGGCAAGAAAAAAGTTTGTCGTGGAAAATAAATAGTAAATTTTTTTCCTTTTTGAGTAGTTCATCCTCAAACCTTATTACGGAAGCCACAGTGACGGACAATTTATCTCGGGCAAAGAAGTGGCAGGAAATTTAATTGAAGGAGTTTTATTACCAAGCAAATCCTTGACCATTCTTTTGGTAGTTACTCTTTGTTTTTTTTCAAGGTCACTTAGTTTAGTGCGAATGGTAATTGTCTCCAATTCAGCTATTCTTCAACATTTAGGGCATTTGGTATAGCTGATAAATGTCATCTATTTTTTTTCTCTTTTTAATAATTGTCGGCAAAGAAAAAGAGCCAGTTCCCGGTTGTAATTCGTGTTTTCTTGCTTTTTGATTTTATTTATTCTATCTTGTCTAATGGCAACACAACCCCCTGTTTTAATTCCTTAGCAAAAACACCTCAAAAATTACTTAATGGACTAACTGAAATTAAGAAAGTTTCTAAATCAGACTTAAAAGCATTCCTAACCCAAGACCACACTTCCTTTAGTGTTTTATCAGTCTCCACTAAACACATTGAATCGACTAATAGAATCAGCATTACCTTATCCAAAAACAGTGCTCGCTCTTTTTATTTAGGCAAGGAACCAACCAAGTCTACGGCTACATCACTTCAACCAGACAAATTACCCGATGACTGCCTCCAAGATGCCCAAAATTGCCTCTACTTCTCCTTCTTTAACTCCAAAGAAAAGAAACTCTACACCCGTTACAAAGATAAAATAGAAGCCAATTTTGAAGGCAAGCAAGCCACTGGTCCTTTGCTCTTTCTCACGCTCACTTTTAACACTAAACACGACAATTATTCCACTTTTACGACTAACTGAAACCCGGAAGACCCTTG